TCAAAAGTAAATGGTAAAAATTAAATTTTATAATTGTAGTGAAAATCGATAAAAGTTACATAAAAATAAATTTTACATTGATTTATTTTTCGATAAATTTTACATCAATAAATAAATAACATAAAAACTTTTATTGTTCGAACAATTGTAAGTTTTTATGTTATTTATTTACTGATGTAAAATTTATCGAAAAATAAATTAATGTAAAATTTATTTTTATGTAACTTTTATCGATTTTCACTACAATTATAAAATTTAATTTTTACCATTTACTTTTGAAAAAAAAAAATACTGGGGCCGAGCGGGCCGACGACCCGGCCGGCCCGTGTGGGCTTCACGGTCCGGGCCGAGCCAAGCCAATTTTTTCCTGGTCCGGGCAGGCCCGACCTGGAAAGCTCTTCCGGACGGGTTTCACGTCCGGCGGGCTGTGCACGGGTTGGACGGGGTGCGGGCCGGCCCAGCCTAGCCCGCCCATTTTGACACAACTAGATTAACAGTGTTAGTGACCAATTATTGATATTGTGACCAATAAAAAATTTTGATCAATAACTTGTGACCATTAAATAATGTGACCAAAAAAATTGAGTTGTAATTTATAAAATTTGTGATTTGTGACCTATAAATTTTATGATTTGTAATTGTGAATAATTTGTGACATAAAAAATGTTATCGTGATCGAGAAATAATTTGTAATCAAATTGTATAGAATTGTGATCTTGATATATTTAATTAATTAGTTTATAAATGAAATTTAAAAAAAAATTTGATTGTTGAAATTTTTAACTTTGTTTCTTAGTTTTTAAATGTTGTCATATTTAACCTCTCGTATATGAAAATTTCCCTTTTCCAATCCATTATTATTCACTAAAAAATAATTGGGGTGACAAAATTTGTTATGATTATTTTGTGCCGGTTTCTTTTCATTCAATTTTTGTTGTATGATCGGACCAGATTTCGGCCCGATTCCCAATTTTTTCCGTCGAACCGATCGATCTGATCCGATATTCATTACACTTAGAACTGGACAAAACTCTCGAATCGAATCAGACCGAATCGGACCCGAATCGAATCAAGCGGTTCTTTTTAAGTTAAATACCCGAACGTATATCTGAATTGAGAACCGACGGGTTCGGTTCGATTCGATTCTCGATTCTAGACCAAGAACCGAAAAATTGAATCTCTCCAATTTTTTTAATTTTTTTTATCTTAAATAAGTTAAATTATTTTATTTTTTAAATAAATTGCTAGCTAGCTAATTTAGTCCAAATCCAAAACATGATTTTACTATTTCTAATTTTTAGCCAAACCTAACTTAATCAAATTGACATAAGTTTTACCTAAATCTCTTATTATATCGTAGTGTTATTTCTATCATTTTATTATTGTGAACTAGTCATCTTCCCCTTCTTGTGATTTTAAAAGTCAAATTTATGAAGAACTCAATTAAGAGAGATGTAATAGATATCACGAGATTGGACTATATTATTTTGTAAGAGTTAAGATTGAATATGTCATAATCGAATTAATGTAACGATGTTATAATATAAAAAAAAATTAATTATTGTACGGAATCTCATAATCGAATAGAACTGAACTGAACCCGAACGGTTTCATAATTAAATTTAGACACAACAGTTCCATTTACTAAATACCCAAAAATTGAGAACCGAATCGGACCATGCCCACTCCTAATTACACTGGAAAATATCATATGTACACATGAAATATAAAAAATTTCATTTTAAAGATAATCGAATCGGACCATGCCCGCTCTTAATTACACTGGAAAATATCATATGTGCACATAAAATATAAAAAATTTCATTTTATACCACAATATTTATTTGTACATTAAAAATAAAATATAAGGACATCTCCAAGAGATTCTGTAAATACATTATGCACTTTATTTTAAAGAACTAACGGCCAAAAATAAGTTCCAAGAGACTTCTATTTTAACTTGTAGGTTTGGCTCTCCAAAATTTAAAGAGTCAAACTTACTCTCTAATCCTATTGAAAAATAATTGCATTTAATAAATTACAGATTTAATTATTCTATGAGAAATTTTATCCCTATAAAAAGAAAAAGAAAAAAAATATGTGAAAAATGATTCACAAAAAGATTTTAGGAGAAATCTTCTGAAAAATCATCCAGGAAAAAACTTGTATGTTTTAAATGTGGTAGAATATGCCATTATGCTAATATATGCATGACTAAACAAAGAATTAATGGATTAGCTGCTGATGAAGGTTTAAAGAAACGACTTAAGTATTTTAGCTGAAAGTGAGAGTGAAAGGGAATCTGATTCTTCTGTTAATTCTACTACTTTTGATGAATGCTCTTCCACAGCCAAGAAAGATTCAAATAAGGCTATCATGATAATGAATGGTCTTGAGTATCAAGGGCGGAGCCAGGATGTAATGGTACGGGGGTCAAAAATTTTCAACAGTGGGTTACTGGGCTTGAATGGTGGAAAAACAATGGGTATAAAAAAAAATGTTAAGGAGGTGGGCATGGACAATGGTGGGATGTAGCCCATCTCTTCATCCAGTGCTTAGCATGTCTGATAATCTGTTCTTAGATTTACTAGATCAAATTGATGATTCTTCTTTGAAAAGAAAGATTATAAGTTGATATAAGAATAAAAGTCAATAGACTTGTGTGTATTTTATTGAAAATTAAAATCTCGTATTTATAGGGAATAATTATGGGGTAATAATTTTTAGGGCTCCAGGGTATAATTGTCATTTACTAATAAACTTACCATTTACAATACTCTACATGAATTACACATTATAAAATATTTGTCCATTAAAACCTTGTTTGATAAAAACCTAATGAAACAAAAATATCAAGCAAAAAAAAAGTACAATCATTTTAGAGTATTAAAAATAGATGTTGCCCCATAAAACTTGCTAGAAAAATCGAGTGTGATAAAATCTAAGTAAATGAAAAAGAATACATCTACTCCCCTTAATGTTGATCACTGAAAATCTTTGAGCCGATACATTCCAATCTCGTGAAACTGTTTCTTGAATGTAGATGTCTTGTACGTCAATGTCTTCAAGAAAATCTTGTGAGACAAAGCTTGATATCTGTAGTAACAAGATGATTAAAAAAATAGAAT